TTGTTCTTGCAATTTTGCATGCTCTAGGCCCTTGTTCTTGCAATTTTGCACACGCTAGGCCCTTGTTCTAGCAATTTTGCACACGGTAGGCCCTTGTTCTTGCAATTTTGCATACGCTAGGCCCTAGTTCTTGCAATTTTGCACACGCTAGGCCCTTGTTCTTGCAATTTTGCTCACGCTAGGCCCTTGTTCTTGCAATTTTGCACATGCTAGGCCCTTGTTCTTGCAATTTTGCACACGCTAGGCCCTTGTTCTTGCAATTTTGCTCACGCTAGGCCCTTATTCTTGCAATTTTGCACACGCTAGGCCCTTGTTCTTGCAATTTTGCACACGCTAGGCCCTTGTCCTTGCAATTTTGCATACGCTAGGCCCTAATTCTTGCAATTTTGCACACGCTAGGCCCTTGTTCTAGCAATTTTGCACACGCTAGGCCCTTGTTCTTGCAATTTTGCATACGCTAGGCCCTAATTCTTGCAATTTTGCACACGCTAGGCCTTTGTTCTTCCAATTTTGCTCATGCTAGGCCCGTGTTCTTGCAATTTTGCACACGCTAGGCCCTTGTTCTTGCAATTTTGCATACGCTAGCCCCTTGTTCTTGAAATTATGCACACCCTAGGACCTTATTCTTGCTATTCTGCACACGCTAGGCCTTGTTCTTGAAATTCTGCACATGCTAGGCCCTTGTTCTTGAAATTCTGCACACGCTAGGCCCTTGTTCTTGAAATTTTGCACGCGCTAGGCCCTTGTTCTTGAAATTTTGCACACGCTAGGCCCTTGTTCTCGCTATTTTGCACACGCTAGGCCTTTGTTCTTGCAATTTCGCACACGTTAGGCCCTTGTTCTTGCAATTTTGCACGCGCCAGGCCCTTGTTCTTGCAATTTTGCACACACTAGGCCCTTGTTCTTGCATATTTACGCACGCTAGGCCCTTGTTCTTACAATTTTGCATACGCTAGGCCCTTTTTCTTGCAATTTTGCACACGCTAGGCCCTTGTTATTGCAATTTTGCACTCGCTAGGCCCTTGTTCTGGCATTTTTGCACACGCTAGGCCCTTAATCTGGCAATTTTGCACACGCTAGGCCCTTGTTCTTGCAATTTTGCACATGCTAGGCCCTTGTTCTTGCGATTTTGCAAACGCTAGGCCCTTGTTTTAGCAATTTTGCATACGCTAGGCCCTTGTTCTTGCAATTTTGCACACGCTAGGCCCTTGTTCTTGCAATTTCGCACACGCTAGGCCCTTGTTTTTGCAATTTTGCACATGCTAGGCCCTTGTTCTTGCAATTTTGCACTCGCGAGGCCCTTGTTCTGGCTGTTTTGCACACGCTAGGCCCTTCTTCTGGCAATTTTGCACACGCTAAGCCCTTGTTCTTGCAATTTTGCACACGATAGGGCCTGGTTCTTGCAGTTTTGCACTCGCTAGGCCCTTGTTCTGGCAATATTGCACACGCTAGGCCCTTGTTCTGGAAATTTTGCACACACTAGCCTCTTGTTCTTGCAATTTTGCACACGTTAGGCCCTTGTTCTTGCAGTTTTGCACTCGCTAGGCCCTTCTTCTGGCAATTTTGCACACGCTAGGCCCTTGTTCTGGCAATTTTGCACATGCTAGGCCCTTGTTCTTGTAATTTAGCACATGCAGGGCCCTTGTTCTTGCAATTTTGCACACGCTAGGCCCTTGTTCTTGCAATTTTGCGCACGCTGGGCCCTTTTTTTGCAATTTTGCACTCACTAGGCCCTTGATCTTGCAATTTTGCACTCGCTAGGCCCTTGTTCTTGAAATTTTGCACTCACCAGGCCCTTGTTCTTGCAATTTTGCACTCGCTAAACACTTGTTCTTGCAATTTTCCACTTGCTAGACACTTGTTCTTACTCTTTTGCACTCAATAGGCCATTGTTCTTGCAATTTTGAACTCGCTAGGCCCTTGTTCTTGCAATTTTGCACTCGCTAGACACTTGTTCTTGCAATTTTTCACTCGCTAGGCCCTTGTTCTTGCAATTTTGCTCTCACTAGGCCCTTATTCTTGCAATTTTGCACTCTCAAGGCCTTTGTTCTTGCAATTTTGCACTTGCTAGACACTTGTTCTTGCAATTTTGCACTCGCTATACACTCTTTCTTGCAGTTTTGCACTCGCTAGGCACTTGTTCTTGCAATTTAGCACTCGCTACACCCTTGTTCTTGCAATTGTGCACTCGCTAGACACTTGTTCTTGCAATTTAGCACTCGCTAGACCCTTGTTCTTGCACTTTTTGCACTCACTAGGCCTTGTTCTTGCAATTTTGCACTCGCTAGACACTTATTCTTGCAATTTTGCACTCGCTTGACACTTGTTCTTGCAATTTTGCACTCGCTAAACACTTGTTCTTGCAATTTTGCACATGCTAGGCCCTTATTCCTGCAATTTTGCACACGCTAGGCCCTTGTTCTGGCAATTTTGCACACGCTAGGCCCTTGTTCTTGCAATTTTGCACATGCTAGGCCCTTGCTCTTGCAATTTTGCTCACGCTAGGCCCTTGTTCTTGCAATTTTGCACACGCTAGGCCCTTGTTCTAGCAATTTTGCACACGGTAGGCCCTTGTTCTTGCAATTTTGCATACGCTAGGCCCTAATTCTTGCAATTTTGCACACGCTAGGCCCTTGTTCTTGCAATTTTGCACACGATAGGCCCTTGTTCTTGCAATTTTGCACTCGTGAGGCCCTTGTTCTGGCAGTTTTGCACACGCAAGGCCCTTCTTCTCGCAATTTTGCACACGCTAAGCCCTTGTTCTTGCAATTTTGCACACGATAGGCCCTTGTTCTTGCAGTTTTGCACTCGCTAGGCCCTTGTTCTGGCAATTTTGCACACGCTAGGCCCTTGTTCTGGCAATTTTGCACACACTAGGCTCTTGTTCTTGCAATTTTGCAAACGATACGCCCTTGTTATTGCAGTTTTGCACTCGCTAGGCCCTTGTTCTGGCAATTTTGCACACGCTAGGCCCTTGTTCTGGCAATTTTGCGCATGCTAGGCCTTGTCCTCGCAATTTTTGCACACGCTAGGCCTTTGTTCTTGCAATTTGCGCACGTTGGGCCCTATTTCTTGCATTTTTGCACTCACTAGGCCCTTTGATCTTGCAATTTTGCACTCGCTAGGCCCTTGTTCTTCAAATTTTGCACTTCACCAGGCCCTTGTTGTTGCAATTTTGCACTCGCTAAACACTTGTTCTTGCAATTTTCCACTCGCTAGACACTTGTTCTTGTTCTTTTGCACTCAATAGGCCCTTGTTCTTGCAATTTTGCCACTCGCTAGGCCCCTGTTCTTGCAATTTTGCACTCGCTAGACACTTGTTCTTGCAATTTTTCACTCGCTAGGCCTTGTTCTTGCAATTTTGCTCTCACTAGGCCCTTGTTTCTTTGCAATTTTGCACTCTCAAGGCCTTTGTTCTTGCAATTTTGCACTCGCTAAGATACTTGTTCTTGCAATTTTGCACTCGCTTATACACTATTTCCTTGCAGTTTTGCACTCGCTAGGCACATGTTCTTCGCAATTTAGCACTCGCTACACCCTTGTTCTTGCAATTGTGTACTCGCTAGACCACTGTTCCTGCAATTTAGCACTCGCTAGACCCTTGTTGTTGCAATTTTTGCACTCACTAGGCCCTTGTTCTTGCAATTTTGCACTCGCTAGACACTTTATTCTTGCAATTTTGCACTCGCTTGACACTGTGTTCTTGCAATTTTGCACTCGCTAGACACTTGTTCTTGCAATTTTGCACTCACTGGACTCTGTTTCTTGCAATTTTGCACTCGCTAGACACTTGTTCTCTGGAGTTTTGCACTCGCTAGACACTTGTTCTTGAAATTTTGCACTCACTAGATACTTGTTCTTGCAATTTTGCAGTGGCTAGGCCCTTGTTCTTGTAATTTTGCACTCGCTAGACACTTTTCTTGCAATTTTTGCACTACCTAGGCACTTGTTCTTGCAATTTTGCACTCGCTAGACACTTGTTCTTGCAATTTTGCACTCGCTAGAGACTTGTTCTTGGAGTTTTGCACTCGCTAGACACTTGTTCTTGAAGTTTGCACTCACTAGATACTTGTTCTTGCAATTTAGCAGTCGCTAGGCCCTTGTTCTTGCAATTTTGCACTCGCTAGACACTTTTTCTTGCAATTTTGCACTACCTAGGCACTTGTTCTTGCAATTTTGCACTCGCTAGACACTTGTTCTTGCAATTTTGCACTCGCTAGACACTTGTTCTTGGAGTTTTGCACTCGCTAGACACTTGTTCTTGAAATTTTGCATTCACTAGATACTTGTTCTTGCAATTTAGCAGTCGCTAGGCCCTTGTTCTTGCAATTTTGCACTCGCTAGACACTTTTTCTTGCAATTTTGCACTAGCTAGGCACTTGTTCTTGCAATTTTGCACTCGCTAGACACTTGTTCTTGCAATTTTGCACTCACCCCGCCCCATTCTCCCTCCTTCCATCACCCCACCCTATTCTCCCTCCTTCCATCACCCCGCTCCATTCTCCGTCCTTCCATCACCCCGCCCCATTCTCCTATTTTCCATCACTCCGCCCCATTCTCCCTCTTTCCATCACCCCGCCCCATTGTTGCGTTTTTCCATCACCCTGCCCATTCTCCCTCTTTCCATTGCTCGTAGGTTTAATAGGTAGTAGTTTCTCAGCTTGCTCTAGAACCAGTTTGAGGGTCATTTGAGGTGGTCCAGTTTCAAATCCTATGATTCACTAACTTAGTTCTACAAAAGAGGTAGCTTGTGCAGGCAAATATCCGGTCTGCCCTATTTTTCAGTCCTGTCATATTGGCACGCGTCTTGTAGCAATGGCATGCCGTTGTGGACTGAAGGCAAACCAGTGGTGTTCACAGTGGGAGAGGCTGCATGCTTATGGGTTGGAGTCACAAGAAGCTTTTCCATCTGCACTTGAAAGATGAGAAGGGGAAGACAAACAGGGCGAGACAAGCTGTGATAAGCCACAAGTTGTACAGCATCCCTGACAGGTTGGTGATCAGTTCCTGGTCTTGGCAAGCGTGGCTCTCACAGCACTGACCCGGGTGAGCAGTTGCTGCTGCTCTGCTGCCACATGCCGGCCCGCCTGCAGCGACTCCTCCAGTGACCCCAGCTGCACCCCCAGCTCGCCCACTGACGTCAGCAGCTCCTCTGCTATCACCTGCCGCTCCACCTGCCGCCTCATACGCCCCTCCCGCGCCACCACTTCCACCCCCCCCACATACGCCCCTCCCTCGCCACCTCCTACCACTGCATGCAACTCCACAGGCGACCCCCCTCTTGCTGCCTGCCGCCCTCACTCCCCACAACCCCCCTCAGAATCCGTTCCCGCTCCTCCGCTGCTGCTTCCACTGCCTCTTGCAACACCCTCTCCTGCTCCTTCCTCTCCTTCCCCCCCCCCTTCCTCCCACTGCCCTGCTCACTGGCCTCCACCACTGCTGTCACAGGGCTGCTGCGGGCAGTGGGGGCGGGAGGGGCGGGCGAGGGGTGGCCATGTCGCGCCACACGGAGGACGCTATTGCCATCACTGCCGTCGCTGTCGCACCCGCTGCTGCCACCCCCCACCTCCGCCATGCCCACAGCCACACTCACTCCCACGCCCCCCTCACTCCCCCCCTCCCGCCTCCTGCCCCCCGCCTCGACTGCCTTCCCCTGTCCCATCTCCACCCTCGCTCCATCGCCTCCCGCCTGCACCCCTGACCTCTCTGCACCACCCCCCACCACACGCCCAGCTTCGTTCTCCATCCCATCCTTCCTGCCCTCTACCTCCCTTTTTTCCCCATCTCTCTCATCCTTCCCACCTCCTCCCGTGGCCTCCTTACCCTCACCCGCCTCCGCCTCGCTGCCCACCACACCACGCCTCATGCCTGCATCCCCTTCACCCCCGCCGCGGCTCTTGTCGTCATCCAGCGACCCGGGCGAGCCCGGCCACCAGCGACCCCAGCACGTACGCTGTCGCCACGTGCCCGCGCTTCACCCGCCCCCCGCCACATCCACTGGCCTGCTCCCCGCCCTCCCGCGTTCCCCCCTCGCCCTCACGCCTGCTCCCCTGCCCCTGCCGCTCTCCCCCTCTGCGCTCTCCGCGTCCCCCCTGCCTGCAACCTGCCCCGACTTGTCACCCGGTGCTGCCCGCCTTGCCTTGGCCCCGCCAGCAGTGGGGGCGTGCAGGGGGGGGCTGGGGGTGGTGGGCGGTGGGAGGCGGCACCACGGCCTTGAGCGCATGCACCAGCAACCCCTTCCCCACCTCACTGCCCTCCTTCGCACCTCCTCCCTGTGCCGCTGCCTCCTTCCCTCCTCGCACATCCCCTCTTGCGTGGCCTGCCTCCCCTCGCCCTCTCACGCCGTCACTCCTCTCGCCTGCCTTGGCACCTCCTGCCGCCACCTCCACAGCACCCAGGCCTTTCTTCCGTCCCACGTCCTTGTGTCTCCCCCGCGCATCCTCCCCAACCTGCACCTTCTCCCCTTCTCCCCATGCTCCCCCCGCTCCGCCCTCCTCGCCCTCTCCCCCTTGCCCGCGCGCCCAGCAGCAGCGCCACCAGCAGTGGGGGCAGCAGGGGGGGCCGCCATGCTGCGCCTGGCAAGCAGCAGAGGGGGCAGTGGCGGGCCGCAGCAGCAGCAGGGGCAGCGGTGGCGGGGGCGGACGCGGGCGTGGCGGAGGGGGGGGAGCGGGGGAGGCGGAAGGGTTGAGGGGAGTGCAGGGAGAAGAAGCGGTGGCGCAGGGCGCGGCCTGCTGATGGCCGCCCCATGCCAAACACTGGCGAGGGGGGAGGGGGGGAGGGGAGAGGCAGCGGAGGGCGAGAGGGAAGTTAGAGGGCGAGTGGCACATGCGTTTTAGCTCGCAATGAAAGTATACTCTAGTGTGATACAAGAGCATCTTGTGGGAGCTGGCGAAGGTTCACTGATGGCACTTCAACACGCACTCAATGCTCCATGCCACTCTCCACACAAACACAAACACAGGCAGTGTGGTTGAGGCACAACGCACCGCTGGGCCACACGGCGTGGTCGTGGTTGGGTCGCTTCTGCAGCAGCTGCTTTGCCAAGTCAAACGCCGCTCCGCCTGCCACACCACACACACACAAGCAGATGCGGGGGCAGGGGGGCGCAAGGCCGAAGGTCCAGGGAGGGGGATAGAGTAAGAGAGGATGGGCACTTGAGACGGTCATCGAAACCCACGGCAGATTCGTCTCAGCGCAGTGGCATGCTGTGCCATGATGTGCACACACACGGGTGAGGCGTGCATGGAGCATACCATGGGCGTCGAGCACGGCCATGTCAGCGCTGGCGGGGCGGAACTTCTTCCGCCACCTGCTCAGATCGTAGTCGCACCGCTTCAACTCGTTGTTGAACCCCTCCTGGTGGTCCCATCCCACCCCCGCATGCACGGCCCAGCACGTCACCCACGCACAGAGGCACATAACAGCACAGTGGACGCAGGCGTTGGGCACACAGCACAGACCCGCATAGCTTCAGAAAACAGGGCATGGCAGCGTATGGTGTGGCATGGGATCATGAGGCGGTGGGAGGCATGGGCGGGTGGGCAGGGTGGGCGGGTGCACTGACCAGGTTGGCTTCATGGCGCAGCGACTTGAGGGAGAGCTGCATCAGCACCACGCCCTGTGAGCATGGTGAGGAAGGAAGGACGAAATAGAGCAAGTTAGGCATTGCAAGGGGTAATTGGAATGAGGAATCAATCATACTGGCAGTGGGAAGAGAAGGTGAGGTTGCAGGGGCAGGACGTCCAGCAAGGGCAGCAGGGGAAGGGCGTACAGCGGAGAAGACGTCAAAGCGGTCGGGGGAGTTGGCCACCCAGATGAACGGCGACAGCAGCGATGCCAGCGGGCTCGGGCGGCAGGTGCGGCGTGGTGGCGGGCGGCATGACGAAGCGCTCGGGGGCGGCGTACTTGGGATCCATCACCGTCTCACTGGGCACCTGCGGGGGGGGGGGAGGGCAGCATGCGGACGGCACGGGTGAATAGAGTGCCGCTGCTGCATGAATGGGGACAAATAAGTACGGTGCACACACAAGATAGCACACGCACGCAGGGGACGTATGTAGTCGCTGGCCACACAGTGAGGGACGTACATAGTTGCGGCCGGAGCGCAGGTCAACGCAGGCGCCGAGGTCGATGAGGCAGAGGTGGCGCTCGCCCTCGTCCACCACCAGGTTGGCCGGCTTCACGTCCCGGTGCACCACTCCTGTGCGCCCCCCATGCCGCACAGCATACATGGCACAGGGCACATGGCACAGGGCACATGGCACAGGGCACATGGCACATAACACACGGTGAATGGGGTGCACCACCAGGTTGGCCGGCTTCACGTCCCTGTGCAGTGCACCACTCCTGTGCGCCCCCCATGCCCATTCCACACACCCCGTGCACCGCGCACATGGCACGTGGCACATGGCACACAGCACATAGTACACGGTGAATGGGGTGCATGCGTGTGCATGGAGAAGATGGAGGGAGCAGCACGGCGACAAGCAAGAGAACATGGAAGAGGGGGGCTTCGGGGGACGGAAGGGGCACGGGGCGGACCTGCGTGGTGCAGGGCGCGGAGGTTGGAGAGGATCTGGCGCATGACGGTCTGCGCCACCTGCCACTCCACCCACATGCGCTGCTCCTCCGACCACCCCCCCGCGTCCCCCTGCACGCCCAGCAGCATGGCGGCCAGCGGTGCGGGGTACTGGCGGTCCTTGAGGTGGCGGTCCAGCGTGCTGTCGCCCTGGTGCTGCCCACACCAGCCACACGCCCTGCCCGCCCGCCCCATGCCCCGTGCCATGCACCACACGCCATGCACCACACAGGGCAGGGAGAAGGGCAGCGGGGCCAGAGGCAGTAAATAGGCCACTCTTGGCACATGCAGAGAAGCGCCCACACATGCACAACGCGACACGAGAGGTGCGGGAGAGAGTGCGAATAGGTGGCATGCGGTGGTGAGCGCGTGATGACTCACCTCCTGCAGCTTGTTCCCCGGCTGCACCTCCATCGTCCCCAGGAACTTGGCCGCCACTCCTGGCACCGTACGCTGCATGCATGCATGCACACACGCATCCATGCACCCATGCACCCACGCACCCATGCACCCACGCACCCATGCACCCACGCACCCATGCACCCATGCACGCATGCACCCATCCAACCATGCACCCATCCAACCATGCACCCATCCAACCATGCAACCATGCACGCACAAGCTTGCAATCACGCGAACACAGACACTCGAATGGGATTGAGTAACCAGATAACCGTTCACACGAACACATCAGCGGGCAGTATCTATACGCGGTGCTGCAACTTATTCGCTGCCACATGAAGGCATGGTTGCTATCTGGGGCTTCATCACCGCACCTGCAAGCCGGTGGTTCATGAACAGCTCACCTGCAGCCGGTGGTTCATGAACAGCTCACCTGCAGCCGGTGGTTCATGAACAGCTCACCTGCAGCCGGTGGTTCATGAACAGCTCACCTGCAGCCGGTGGTTCATGAACAGCTCACCTGCAGCCGGTGGTTCATGAACAGCTCACCTGCAGCCGGTGGTTCATGAACAGCTCCACGTCTTGCATCTCGTCCGCGCCCGCGCCCGCCGCCTTGCGCTTCACCACCACGCGCTGCGGCTGCCCGCGCGGCCCGGCGACGGTGGCCTCGTAGACCACGCCGAAGTTGCCGTGCCCCAGCTGTCGCCCCACCTTCACCTCCGAGGGGGAGAATCGCCTGGGGGTGGGAACACGCCATGGGGAGGGGCGTTTGGGGAGTCAAGGGAGGCGGCAGTGCGGCGTGGATTGCGGCGCGCTCGCCTCTCTGTGCGTGCCCGCCTCTCTGTGCGCGCTCGCCTCTCTGTGCGCGCTCGCCTCTCTGTGCGCGCTCGCCTCTCTGTGCGTGCCCGCCTCTCTGTGCGCGCTCGCCTCTCTGTGCGCGCTCGCCTCTCTGTGCGCGCTCGCCTCTCTGTGCGCGCTCGCCTCTCTGTGCGCGCTCGCCTCTCTGTGCGCGCTTGCCTCTCTTGCGGGCTCGCCTCTGTGTACCTGAATGTGACGGTGTGGTGTGACTGTACCTGAAGGTGACGGTGTGACTGTACCTGAAGGTGACGGTGTGGAGGGGCGCGACGAGGAAGTCGAGGAGGCCCATGGGGCCGGAGGGCGGCGCGGACGCGTACGCCAGCAGCAGCGCCACGGACGCGATCCACTCGCGCAACGCCACCTGCCACGCGCACCACCGCCCACGCGCACCCACCTCAGCACGTTAGTGCGCAAGCAAGAGGCGCAACGACGCGCGGATTGCGGATGAAGGGGACGGAAGGAGGAGAGGTGGGGGGGCGCGAGGGCACTCACGGGGTCGTCCAGTGGAATGCCGGCGGACGCCGCGAGCTGCGCCACCTCGTGATGCACGCTCGCTATAGTCACGTCCATGCCCAGCGGCACCCTGCGACGCACGAGGATGTGGGCACAGCGCAGGGGGGGGGGGGGGGGTGGGGTGGTGGCGACCGCAATGCCGGTGAGGCCACGAACACCACGTGAACGCAATGCCGATGCTGCGCGCCAAGCGACACGCGACCCGCCGAGCACTGGAAAATGATGGCGTACTCATCAGCTCCCCCCCACCCGCATAAAGCGCTAATGGAAAGATGATGGCAGCGGGCGGCACTCACCCGTGCAGCAGCGCGTCCGCGAGTTTGCCCGTACACCGCGCCCAGCCCGTCGAGCGCAGCCGCGGGAGGAGGTGCGCGGATGGGGCGGGATGGGCGGAGGCAAGGGTGGCGAGGCGCGGAGAGTCGGGGGCGGAGGAAGAGAGAGCCCGGGAGCGATGGACGGCCTACGGTACGCGCGCAGTGTGGTGCGGCTGAGAATGCGGCAGCCACGAGTGTTGGCGGACGGGGAGGGGAAGCGCCATGACATGGCGAGCCAACTGCGCTCATCGTGCTCCTTGGTGTCAGCTGAGCGCCCAACGTTGACGCTGCCATTTTTTCGTGGTATACAATTAAACGTTTAAAATTCACCGTCCACAATAGCATAGGACGGTGATCGACAAGCGTTTGAAATATCGCGACGGCAGCACAACAACTTTCTTGTGCTGCAAAATTACGTTTTTTTCGACCAAGTGATGAGACGGTGGTTAGATCCTGTGTAGGTGAGCGCTGCGACCTCTCGATCAGAAGCAGCGGATTTGACTACAGCAACTGGAAACAGAACGCATGAAAGGGTTGGTTGATGGTCGCTGTCAACGGCAGTCCTGTCGCGTGCATCGAATTGGTGCGGGTTCGAGCAAGTTATCGTTACACCAGGTTCTCCTGCCCGCGCAATTCGTTGCACCCCAACTGGGTCTTGTCTCGGTCGCCGGTCATCTTCCCGCTAGCTGTGTCCATCCCGCCCCCCAAACCGTCTAATTTCCCTCCAGCCGTTCGCATCCCCGCCATGATCACCCGTGCGAAGCCCATTGCGCACTCTTTCCCACACGCGCAAGCCTTGGACGGGCGCACGCACAAGCTGGCCTGCTTCCTTGCCTAGTCAGCGCGACAGCTGACAGTGCTCTTTCCTCTCAGCGCTGCGCTTCTATTGGCCCAATGTTGGTGGGGTAACCATTGCAAATCGCCGCGTGTCGAAGTCGTGCTCCACTCGTGGATTCTTGCCGCGAAAAAAACCACATTCTGGTCACAATTCGTTGTTGGCGTCTTGTGTGAGACTTTGTTCCAGTAATACTCCATATTCCTAATTAGTCAGGATTACCGACGTGTATACATTAAAACGAATCAAATTTATGCAGAAATACATAAACGCTTTATTGAACTACAGCTTCCATTCGAGAGCATACCTATAGAGAAGATAACCAAAACACCTAAGCCTATCAACTAGCTCACAAGGCATGAGCCAAGTCATATACATGCTGGCATAGAAGACGTGCTGGAAAGAACTACACTGGTTGCTTAATCTCAATGTCGGGTTTCGGGACAACTTCATACAGCGTGATGCTGGTGAGGGAGATGGGGACAGCATTGATGGTGATGTCAGTGGAGTGGGACGTGGCGTTATCCGGCACTTGCACGTTCATCTGGTCGATCATCTCGTAGTCCTCCTTAATTGACGTGCGGTGCACGTGCACGAGCACAGGCACCGAGTGGTCAGCGGAGAGGAAGTCCTGCACGCGGAGGGTGAGCAGGAAGTCCTTGAACGACTGGTTGGTCACCAGGATGGTCAGGCGCTTGTGCCGGGGGCTGTACGCCGCCACCACCCCGTGCTCGCACTTGGTCACCATGCGCACAATGCGTGACTCCGGGGGCACCGCGCGAGTGAGGTGCTTCATCACGTAGTACTGCTTGCTGAATACCAGCTTCATGCTCTCCACGCTCTCTCCGCACTCCCCCTTAAACCGGAGGAGCCCCCACCCGTGGGTGTTTGGTTCCACGGCCATCCAGTAGTACCAGGCGGCCACCCCCATGATGTTGATGTGCTCCATGACGGTACGCGCCATGTACATGGCCAGCTGCAGGTCCGTGCCATAAATGTCAATGGGGCCCCACTCCGACTGCCACACCTCCTTGCCTATGCGCGCTGCCGACTCGCGCAGGTCTTTGTACTGCAGCCCGATCTGCCACGACTCGGGGAAGTGTTTCGACTGGTACCCGTGCACGCAGATGTGGTCCACCTTCTCCCACGTCTCGGGCCGCAGCGCCTCCGTGGGCGACTTGATGCTGCGCACCGTGTACGCCACCCACGAGTCCGCCACCGAGATGCGCGTCGGCAGCCCACTGGCCTGCAGCGCGTCCGCCAGCAGCGCTACCACCACGTCCACGTCGTTCACACTCACCGAGCACCCCTCGCGGTTCCTGCCCGCGCGCCACCAGCCCTCGAGCGCCTCGTTGAAGGGGTTGATGTGTTCAAAGGTGATGTTCCACGCTGGGGTCGGAGTGGTACTGCTGCATCACGTCCACCAGGTACTGCACGAACGCCCCCCGCTGCTCCGGGCGCATGTTGGGGTCGCCGTGGTCGTTGCCCGCCGTGTCCCCACTGACGGTCATCCACCACGGCGGCGAGTACGAGATGGCCTCAAAGTGCTGCACGCCCAGCTGCTTCGCCGCCAGCATCACCTTGCGCTGCCCCGCGTCCGCCGACCAGTTGTAGGGCGCGAGGGGGCCCTCTTTGAAGGCGCGCATGGGGTGCTTGGTGCGCGCGATGGCGGGTGAGAACATGGCGTTGAAGCCGCCCGGGATGGCGTAGCGCGCCATGGAGAGCCCCAGCCCCCTGTCCGCGTGGAACACCAGCTCCACCAGCCGCCCCATGCACCACTCCGGTAGCCCGCCCGCCTGGTTCGCCCACCTGCGCGCGCCGGAGGGGGAGGGCGCGTGGGGGGGAGGAGAATGCAAGAGACAGGAGTGAGGGTTGGGGGAGGAAGTCGGTGGAGGGAAGTTTGTTGGGAGGCATGTTCATAAATTCATCATTCCCATGTACGACTTACCGTGCATCTCCGTGTCTCACCAAGCATCACCGTGTCTCACCGTGCATCACCGTGTCTCACCGTGCATCACCGTGTCTCACCATGCGAGCGAGGTGCCCCAGCCCTTCCACATGGTGGCGGTGAAGTTGGGTCGCACGTACACGTAGTCGTACCCTGCACGCACGCACGCACGCACGCACGCACCACACAGCCACGCCACGCATGTAAATCAGCCTTGTTTTCAATCTCAATGTCAACCAGCCATTGATTCTTCAACACACGTGCCAAGCGGCCGGCGACGAGAGAGGCGGGAGAGGCCCTGCAGGAGCGACCGGATTTGCGTGCGATCAAAGCTCTTACCCGATTTGCTCATCACACCATTTCTCAGATTACACTCGACTCCTCGTTCTACTTGTGTGTCGCACGGCGCTGGGCCTACCTTGGGTGTCGCACGTGTGGTATCGGTCCGTCTGCTTCTGCTGGTACAGCTCCGTCCAGTTGAACTGCCCCCACTCCCCCTCCCTCCCCTCGAATCGCGCCTGCGACGGGCGCGTGAGATTCGACAGCTCGGGCATGGGGATGGGGTCGTCAGCCGGCGTCGGCGGGACCGCAGGGGCGGGCGCGGGGGCCGCAAGAGCAGAATCGTTGGGCGGGGCGGCGGATTGGTTGAGCGAGATGATGGGATCTTTGGGCTGCAGTGGCATGGGAACGGCGGAGGTGTTGAGTTCAGAGGCAGTGCTCGCGGGGGACGCGGGGGAGGGCGAGGGCGAGGACGAGGAGGGCTTGAGGGCTGAAGAGCAGCGCGACGAGTGTGGCGACGCCGACGACGAAGAGCAGCAGAATACCCGCCAGCGCCCACCGCCACCGGTGCTGCTGCTTCGGGTCGCCCGGCAGACACAGCATGCGGTCGCAGTCCGCGGACCCGCATGGCGGCGTGCACCCGCATCTCCTGGGGGAGCTGTTGTGCGCGGCTTGCGGCGACTCCGCCATTGCGGGAAACTCGCCATCAGGAGCAGCCGCCGCGTCGGCGAGAGGGGCTGTGGCATTGGAAGGGACCGCATCTTCTACAGTAACTACCGCATCGCCTTCCGCACTACTGGGCGGGTCGGCCATGATTGCACCTACCGATTCTAGTAACTACGGGGTGGACTTGCTGCGTGTCAAGGAAAATATTCAGAAGAGGCTAGCTGGTGGCATTAGCTCATACATGAGGGGGAAAGGATGATGTTGAATTTGGTTCGCAAGGAGCGCGGCAGATGCAACTCGTTCAGTGCGCGGTGAAGGAAAGAACGTGTTGGATTGCAAGTTGCAATTTGCAACTGGGTGTTGAGGGGAGGGGCGAATTCGACACACTGGAGGGGATCGCGGAGAATAGAGGGGGCGGGGTGGGTTTGGCGGGGAGGCGGACGGAGCAGTCAATCAAAGTGCTGGGCGGACTTGTGGTCGAGGAGGAAGGGGCGAAGCGTGGTACAGCGCTAGGTGGTTGCGCGGGGCTGGGCGGCGATGGAATTTGGCGGCTCTCGTGGCTCTGGGAAAGGGGAAACGCCATGCGTGCGACGGCTATTGGTTGGTGCGACGCCGAAGGTCCTTTTGCACCCTGCTTGGGTTTTGCAACCAGGTAGGCTTGGCCCCCCCCGAACGAACATTCTTTACATCCATTGGTTATCGCAGCCTTGGACGTTTAGAGCCCCACCAGGTCTGTCGTGAAGGACTTGGCATGGCGACGCCGTCACCTTCGGGAGGTGGCGGTTTGGCGATGTTTATAGGGGTGTCGACTACACGGCTTCATTTATTGTGAAATGACTAAATCTTCAAAGCAGCACATTGATAAAATTGGGGGAGGTGCTTAGGATGCGGCACCTCCAGCACCGATCCTGTGATCGATCCTGCGCAGGATCAAATGTTTTAGGAGTTTTTAAATGGTTTAAAAAGCTTTAAAGGCTTTCAGCAGGATTTCAGTACGGTTGAATCAGCGATCCTGCGATCGATCGTGCAAAATTGCTTGAGGTGCCGCGTCCTTGCCGTATATCAATATTGGTTCCTACTGGGTTTTGGCGCATTTTGTTGAACGTTACTGTTCAATACCTCTAACAGCGTTATTTGAGACTAAAAGGGGAAATATGTATCAAATTCTTTGAACACTCTGATCTTTGTTGTACCTTACGTGGTAGCTTGAATTCATTGCGTGGCGGCGCAAGCACAGTTTGTGTACACTGTGCACCACGTCCCTCGTTAGAGGCACTACATCAATTGTGACTTTGACCTCGGCGAAGGACCAAATAGACAGCTCTGATACTTCATCGGTTGACATTGTCTCAACGGTTCTTTGGCCGTAAGTCAAACGGGTGGCTTCTGACAGTCGTCTAACACATTTCACCTCCCAATCTGTTCAGAGGTTCTGGTTGATCATGTTGAAAGAGAATAAGCTACCAGCAGGATCTAAGCTCACAACAACAAGCAGGAAGTTGGCACTCCCTGGTAAAGAAGAAACACTGCAGCAAGGGAGGGTTTGCTGTGCACCTCCAGTTTAACATCTTCTCTTGTTAAAACTAGTACTTTATTCAGGGACACATCATGCAGAGTGCAGCAGAGCAGGAGGCGGGCATCAGTAGCGTAGCCGGTCGACGCGCTGGCGGAGGTCCTTGGCGCGGCCGACAGCAATGCGGTTGGAGGGGTCGTACACCAGCGCTGTGTCGTACGCCTTGAGGGCGCGCGCCCACTCCTTCTGCCTCTCCAGCGCGTCCCCCAGGTTGTTCCATGCTGTCACGTACGCGGGCTGCAGGCTGACGGCCTTCTCATACGCCTTCACTGCCTCCTTCAGCTTCTCCTCACTGAAGTAGCTGAACCCCAGCGCGTTGTACACCTGCTCCCACCCACCGCAAGACCATGCCACAGGGCAAGGGGGGGGGGGGGGGGCGGGGGAAGGGCAGCAGGGAGTGGAGGCAGGGCAGCAGGGAGTGGGCAAGGCATGCAGCACGTGAGGAGCAGAGCAGACAAGCGAGCCTTCAAGCACAAGGTTTAGGTAGTGAGGTGAATTCTGGGCGCATGGGTGGGAGGGTGGGTTGAACGGTCAGTGGGGCTGCTGTGTGCAGGGGGGTATGTTCATGTGCATGTGCTTTCCATCAAACGCTTCGTTAATAATGTGTGGGGAAGGGGGGAAGAAAGTGGGGTGGAGCGCGTGTGTGTGTGTGTTCGTGCGCGCATGCTCGCATCGCATGTACATGCGAGCGTGTGCATGCAGGTGTTTGCGCGCGTGCATCCATCAGCCTGCATGCCCATGCCTGTAAACGTGCCACGACATGCTTGCGTTCTCATCAGGTATGCCATCCATGCCCCCCACTCCCGCCCCATTCCCTCTCCACCCCACCCACCCCCCCATCCCCCCGCACCTGCGCGAGTTCTTGTTCGTCGCCCTCCCACTTGGCGATGGCGAGCTCGAGGTACTTGTTGGCCACCACGAAGAACTTCTTGCGCAGCATGATGGCGCCCAGCTCGAAGTACTCCTCGCTCGACGCCTCACCCGACCGCACGCGATCCTGCCGCAACCATGCCACACGCGGGAGGGCGGAGGAGAGGGATCAAGTCGAGAGGTTCGAGTCCAAGGCCTTTGATTCCTGTTATGTGCCAGTTTCATCCTGTTCTCTAACCCAAATGTGTCCTTGCTGCCATGTTCCATCCCCCGACTCGCTCGTCCTTCCCCGCTATTGATGTTCGCCACATTCCCGTCGCCTGTGAAGGACATTCTAGCCTTGCCTCGTCCCATACTCTCTGCCCCCCTCCTCTTCCTCACGCGCATCTCCCGGCGTGGCCTCACCTGCAGTTCTTTGGCGGCGTTTTCGAGTTCGCGCTTCACGAGCACCTGGCGCACGACGAGGAAGGTGCCGAAGCCCAGCAGCGCCAGCAGCCCGCCCAGGTACAGAAACAGCACGCTGAACTCCAGCGGCGCCGCCTCCGCCACCTGCACCGCCGCGCCGCGCACGGGGGGACACGGGAGGGGCGCCGGTCATGCGTACGAAGGGTTATTCCGGTCCCACGAAACTAAAGCAGACGCATCGGCCCGCGATCTAAAGCAAGGATGAGAGACTGTGATAGATATGCACCCTACGCCAGCGGCCTGCGCACTCACCATGTCGTAGGCCGGGTTGAGAAACGCTAGCGGCAACGACACGTCCTCCGCCGCTCGAGCCATGTCTGCAGCGCAGCAGCCGTAGGGCACGCAGGATCGGGCATCAGATAGGCATTTAAGCAGAGGGCGGGGCTGCGACGAACCAGAACCAAGCGAGGGATCGAGAGAGGCGGGAAACGAGGGGCCATACGAGACGACGAAGAGATGAGCCGTCTGGTTGGTTCGCGGGAAATCAGAATGACGGGGAACGAGGACGCTCACCTGGTTCGAGGAGAGCCAGCGCAGCGGAGGCATGCGCGGCTGGCATCGCCATCGCGACTCGATGATCCCCCGTTCCTGCAGCCTTAAGCCCAGCTGGCACTCTACTGACGAGCATTCTCACGCGATCCGCTCGACATGGTTGTCTGGATAGCGGCTGCGCCATGCCAAGTCGTGGAATTTGACGCGTCGCATCGAGCGCCGCCACACTCTGCATTGTGGCAAGTTTTACGCTGCGGTTCTAAGGAGAAAATTTTGTTGAGCGGAACCAACCGTTGCTTGCAAGCTGATTGTGAGCGACGTGATGGTGATGAGGGATCCGTGCTAGTGCGTCGCTCACTGGCTTTTCAGCTTCTGGGCTGCGGGAAATTGTGAATCAGGATTCACGATTTGCTCTTCTTTACCCCTCTCTGGCCTAGAGAAGGTTGGATTTTGAAGAGAAATGTGTTTGGCTTGCCTGGTGGGTTGCCGCGCTCAGCGCAATATTTTTGGGGATTGCCAAATCCGATGGGACTCCACGTGGAGCCTCGGAAACGTCGTCAGCCACATCAGCAGGCACATTCTGATTTTACTAGAGGTTGCTTTTCTTCACAACATTATTGCGCATAAATCGCTTGTTTTAGCATTACTATATCGTGGAAGCGTCATATTTTTGAAACTTCAAATCGAAATCCCTCGTTTGTAGACAGATTTGAAAGCAGGCTTCCCTGGATACCTCCCTCCATCTCCCTCCTCCCCTTCACCACTCCGCTCCTCCCTAAACCTACACTCCCACTAGCTCTCTCGCCCTCTCGTTTCTAGGGTAACAAGTCCTAGACCCGTCCTTGGTCTGACTGCTAGGAGCCATGGCTGCGGAAGCGCACTTGGCTCACTCAATAGCAAGTGTAGGCTCGTCATTATTGCAAGAAATCTCTCCTGCTACTGCGTCTTTCGGTCAGTCACAAGGCTCGCGAGTGTCCGGGGTTTCGCTGTTAGAGCGTGGCCTGCAAAGGCTTAGCCTTCACTTGTCGGCGTCACGAACATTTATTCCCCGCGCGTCGGACAGCGGCGCATCGTTAGAAAATGCATCGGAAAATCAGGAATCGCCGGAGCATCAGGAGTCGGTGGACGCGGAATGGCCGCAGCTGCGGTCCATCAGCGTGGGGCTCGTCGACGACACTGTAGCCATGCTCGACCGGAAATGCGACTCGCGGGAGACGAAGGTGGTGCGGCTGCTGCTGGCGCTGGGGCTGGGCAAGCAGCAGGTGGCGCAGGCGATATCGAGCGACCCGGACGTGCTGCAGCTGAGCGTGGTGGACATTCTCGCGCGCCTGCGCGTGCTGCTCGACCTCGGCTCCTCGCTCGGCGAGGTCGCCTCGTCGCTCGTGCGCGAGCCGCGCTGGCTGCACAGCCCGGTGCAGCGCATTTACGACATGGTGGCGTACCTCGAGTCGCTGGGCGTGGAGCGCGACAAGGTGCACCGCGTGCTGCTGCGCTTCCCGCGCATCATGGAGCTCAGCGAGAGCGAGATCACGCCGTCGCTCGCCAAGCTGCAGTACATCGTCGGTGAGGGCCGCGACATCTACCGCATGATCGAGCGCCAGCCGCGCGTGCTGGGGCTGTCGCAGGCGCAGATCACGGAAACCGTGGAGGTGCTGAAGCAGTTCATCGCGGCCGAGCAGGTGGCGGACGTGCTGCTGAAGAAGCCGCTGGTGCTGCTCATGTCGCGTGACGCCATCGTGCAGCGCATCCAGTACCTCGCCTCCATCTTCCACAAGCACCGCCTCTCCAACGTCTTTAAAGTCGCGCCCGGACTCCTCACCATCGACACCAAGCGCCTCATGCGGCAGTACTCGCGCCTCGAGATGTTCCTCGACCCCGCCGCGACGGACAAGCTCGTGAACGCGTTCCCGCAGGCGCTCACGCTGAGCTGGGAGAAGGTGCTGCTGCCCAAGTTCCGCTTTCTTGAAGAGCTGGGGCTCGACCGCTTCGAAGTGCTCAACTTCCCCGCGTACCTTGGCTACTCGCTCGACTCGCGCATCCGCCCGCGCTGCGCCGTGCTGCTGGCGGCGGGGTACGCGATCCGCGCGCACGACGAGGTGATCACGACGGACAACGAGCGCCGCCTGCGCAAGTTCGGGCGGTCGCACCACGAGATCCTGCAGACGTTCGGGTCGCACGCCGTGTGCATCCAGCACATCGTGGGGCTCACCGACGCCGACTTCCACTCCCAGTTCGGCGTCTCCCCCTCCTCCGCCTCCGCCTCCTCTGCCTCCTCCTCCTTCTCCGCCTCCCCCGCCACTGCCTCGGCTAGTTGACACACAGGGGCACCCTTACTATTGCTGCAGTAGTCGCGGCTGGGGTCGGGCAGAAGCTGAGGCTGTGGCGCGGGTGGAGGGTGAAGTGGAGGGTGAGGGTGAAGCTGAAACAGGGATATGACAGGGGCATGGTGCATGGGCATGGCAGAGGTCTAGTTACACACCATGGCAGGACACCCCAAGCCTTGCCTGCTGAGGGTTATTGTGCCTCATTCCACTGAACAGCAGAGCTTGCTGTACTTGTGTTTCTTGGTAATCATGAGCTTGCATGCAGGTATTAGTGAGTCGGGTCCTCTCGTTGCCTTCCATAGCTTCTCATTTCATCCTTCATTCTGTGGGACACACCGATGCAAATGGCTTGAGCCTTGCAGTGTTTTAGCATTAACATACATAGAGTGCCTAAACACAGGGCCACTGGCCACCTGGAGTGGCCTTATGAGCCCTACCACGCAGATATGAAGACACAGTCTATGCTTAAGACAAAACATGCGCCAGCCTCAAGTGCCAGCTTGTGTTAGCCCCAGCTGACAGCACTCGCACCTAAAGCATTCCACCCGAGTCCCTGCAGAGTGTTGTTACCACTGCCGTATGTGTTTCAAGGGGAGCTTGCATGCAGCCCCCGCAGGTGCCAGCGTTATTGCGAGGGGGTGCTGTTGAGCTCGTCAGGGGTGGGTGTGATGCGGCGGCTGAAGAGGCGCGACATGGGGCCCTTCTTGGCGGGCTTCTGAGCGGGCGGGGTCATCTCCCCCAGCTGCGGCGCCCAAGAGGGCACCTCTCCGTGGGCCAGGAAGTGCGCGATGACGGCGATGACGACGTGGTTGCGGAAGTAGCTACCGTGCGACAGCTCCACGTTGCCTGTCATGTCCTTGTACCGCTCCTCCAATGTCACACACACCACCTTCAACTCCCGCTCGAATGCCACTCTGCACGGGGGAAAGGGAGGGGCGTTGACAAGGAGGACGGGGGATAGGGAACAAGAGAGGCGCGGGTGAGATGGTGTGGGGATGTGGCAAGGGTGTGTGCATGCAGCGTGTGAGGAAGGTGTGTGCGCAGCGGTGCACGGTGGGTCACCTGGAGATGCGGGGGTTGTGTGCCATCTTATCGACTTGGTTCTTTAGCAGCGCCAGTGTCGTCGACTCCTCCGCCTTCCTCTCCAACTCCGCGTCATCCTGCCATGCATGCCATGCACATAACGAAAGAGGCGGGAGCAGTGAGAATGGTGGGGTTGAGTGCAGTGAGCATGAGGTGACATGCACACCCCCATTCTGGGTGCACACTTGAAAAGAAGGCATGAATGAAGGCACATGGATGCAGGGCGGCAGCAGTTACCCAGAGGAAGCGCCAGCGCTGCGCGATGGCGTGGGGGTCCACGAGCTGCGTGTGCGCCTCCATCAACGCCTCCTCCGTTGCCGCTGCCTCCCCTGGTATCACCGCTGCTCCATGCCACACACAGCGGAGGGGAGAGGAGAAGGGGGGGAGAAGGGGAGAAAGGAGGGGAAGAAAGGGGTGAGGGTGCATGCAGAGTGCAGTGGGAGGGGCAGCAAGGCAGGGCATGGAGACGGATGGAGTGTCAAGTGAGCGGCTGGAGGTGTGAGCGCAGGGGAAGGTGTGAGCGCAGGGGAAGGTGTGAGCGCAGGGGAAGGTGTGGCAGAGCAGAGGGCGTGGTAGGAGGGGCGGGGGAAGGGCAAAGGCGCGAGTGTGGGGGCCGCGAGGAAGAGGAGGGGGGGGGGTGTTTGTGTTGGTGGGAGACTGACATCGCTTGCGGAGGTCTTTGAGCTGGTCGAGCGTGGCGGCGGTGAGGATCTTCTGCACGTTCCAATGCGCTATGCTGTGCGTCGCTGGGGGCAGCCGCAGCCACTCCTCCACGTACACCTGCGCACAGTCCAACTCGTTCTGTGACCCCATGCCATGCCATGCCGTGCCATGCCATGCCATCCAATGCCATGTCATGCCATTCAGCACACACACCCACAGCATGCCATGTGCAGTGCAGTGAGGAGAAGAAACTGATAGTGAGAAGGTGGAGAGAAGTGGAATGGCAGAAAGCTAGAGCAAGTCCGCAGTGACCTTCCTTGCCCCTTATAGCTCGCGGCCCAAATTGCACAAGTTCAGTAAGCTTGCGCAAGTCTGAAGGCTGGGTGGTTTGGGAAAGATGAGCAGGTGTTGGGAGGGACGCGTTGTCTGATTTCGCAACACTCAGGTGCTTTTTCGCCCAGTCAGCAAACTCTGGGGCCAGTAGCCTGTTTGAGATCTCGAGTCCCAAATTGCAGAAAGCTGAAACTTGAAGTTTTAGCCCTGTGTTAGGCCTCGACCAATAGAATTGCTTCATACATACTGTAACCAGAATTCGCCAGAATACAGCACCCAAAACGGATGTTGAGCAAGATTGGTAATCTTGCCCTGTGCGCCCCGTAATTTGGGCTTTGAGCTTTAAACTGGCATGTGTGCACATGCTGGCAGGGCAGGGCGCAGGATGCGTGGTGGCGGGGGCAGGGCGCAGGATGCGTGGTGGCGGGGGCAGGGCGCAGGATGCGTGGTGGCGGGGGCAGGGCGCAGGATGCGTGGTGGCGGGGGCAGGGCGCAGGATGCGTGGTGGCGGGGGCAGGGCGCAGGATGCGTGGTGGCGGGGGCAGGGCGGTGGTTACCTTCTGCAGGCCGAAGCCGAGGGTGATGAAGAGGCGCAGCAGCTGGTTGCAGAAGTAGGGCACGAGGAGGAAGTTGAGCAGCCACAGGATCATGTACGGCACCGCCAGCACCACCGTCCACAGCGCCACCCAGCAGTTGTTGTACAGGTTGGCCAGCGACACCAGCCATGTCTTGGCGGGGAAGGGGCGCAGCATGCGCCATGGGTCGGGCGTCAGCATGGTCTGGCGCACGCGGGCATGGCGTGTGGGGAATGGAGGATCGAGGGCATGGCGTGTGGGGAATGGAGGATTGAGGGGATGGGGTGTGGGGAATGGAGGATTGAGGGGATGGGGTGTGGGGAATGGAGGATCGAGGGCATGGCGTGTGGGGAATGGAGGATCGAGGGCATGGCGTGTGGGGAATGGAGGATTGAGGGGATGGGGTGTGGGGAATGGAGGATTGAGGGGATGGGGGATGCGCGGAGAGAAGAGGTGGCGCTGGAGGGGAGCGAGCATGGCGTTTGGGCTGGAAGTATGACCTGCGGCATGAGGTATGCGCACCTTGACCTGCGGCATGAGGTATGCGCACCTTGACCTGCGGCATGAGGTATGCGCGCACGAGGGGCTCCGTGGAGAGTGCGAGGGCGGCCTCGTCGAGCTTCCCTGCGTTGAGCACGAGCGCGCTCATGGCTGGGCTCCACGCCTTCTTCTCCGTGAAATACACGTTGCCGTCGCTGTACCGCTTGCTGCTCAACGTGTTGTACACCACCACCGCCACTGACACCAGTGCCACTGTTACCCAGAATGTGAGCTGCCCCCCGGCCATGAGGAAACAGGGTGAGGACAGGGAGGATTGAGTGAGTGTGGCGTATGGCTTGCCAGTTTGCACTGTACCGCTTGCTGCTCAACGTGTTGTACACCACCACTGCCACTGACACCACCGCCACTGTCACCCAGAATGTGAGCTGCGAGGCCCCGCGCACAGGCGAGCAGTGAGGAGAGGTGGTACAGAGGAAGGAGGCAGAGGGCGCAGGACGAGGGCAGGGAGGATTGAGCGAGTGTGGGATCTAGCTTGCCAGGCAGACTGGGATTGATGAGGCAGATCAGGCCGGCAGGCCGGCAGGCAGGCAGGCAGGCAGGCAGGCAGGCAGGCAGGCAGGCAGGCAGGCAGGCAGGCAGGCAGGCAGGCAGAGAGGGTGGTGGGAGATAGAGTGGGTTGGCAGGGTGTGGGGCTGACCTCGCCGCCGGTGAGGTCAGCGGTGTTGACCTCGTGGAAGATGGCGTACTTGACGGACACCACGGCGCCCACGATGACCACAAACACCAGCACGGAGAGGGCGAGGATGGTGCCCGCCATGGTGCGCGCGGCCTGCGGGTCCCAGTGCTTGGTGTAGAAGGGCGTCCCCAGGAACACCATTCGGCCTAAGCAGTTGGTGCTGCTGCTCCCCGCCCACTTCTTCCGCAGGTACTTGGCCTGCCGCACCCTGGGGGGAGGGAGTGGGGGACGGACAAGGGAAGGGGTACAGGGTTGCGGGGTTATGGCCGGTGGGTGGAGGAGATATGTGGGAGAGACAAAGGGAGTGACGAAGAGGGTGAGAAGAGGGAAAGAGGAGCAGAGAGTGGAGGGAGGTGGGGAGCGAGTGGAGGAGGCGGGCGGCCTTGAAGGACAGGAGTGAGGGGGAGCGGAGAAGGAGGGGTTCAGGGGGCGGCACTCGCTTGGGAAGGCCGAGAAGCGAGTCAACGCGTCGGAAGTAGGCGTAGGGGAAGGCGCCTAGCGCCTCGTCGCCCCGCCATGGCCGCTTCACCACCAGGAACGGCGCGAACGCCAGCATCCAGACCGCGCCCACTTTCACCTGCTGGTGCTCCTTTATGCTTCGGTACCCTTCAGCGTGCGCCTCCCAGAAGGCGGCGGTGATCTGGTCGTGGGAGGCGCGCGCAGGGTCGCGGGAGTCGCGGCGCAGCATGGAGAGGTACTTGGACACGGCCTTGAGCGCCACGTTGCCCCCGTGGCTGTGCGCCACCACGTGCACGCGCGCCGACGGGTCCGCGCGCCCCACCGCGTGGATCAGCTGCGCCAACGCTTTGCCCGCTGCGCCAGGGAGGGGGAAAGGAGGGGGGCCCGTGGTGGAATAGATGGGTTCGGGGGGGTAATGAGTGGCGGCATTGGCGGATAAGAGAGATGGTTTGCACGAGGACGAGCAAGCATGGCGTGCTGCCTTTGGCCGTGCCGTTCCCATCATCCTTGCCCCTTGCTGCTCACTGTACCTCGGGCATGCTCAAACCCCTACTCCCCGTCCCCCGGGCCACGTCCTCACTCCCCATTCCTCACAGGCGCGCTCACCCATCTTCCCCCCCAGGCGCGCTCACCCATCTTCCCCCCCCAGGCGCGCTCACCCATCTTCCCCCCCAGGCGCGCTCACCCATCTTCCCCCCCAGGCGCGCTCACCCATCTTCCCCCCCAGGCGCGCTCACCACCGACGCGCGCCTCGTGCGTGTTGTGCCCCGACCAGTGGAAAGGGTACGGCACGTCCTCGCGCAGCCGCATGCCCGCGTGCGAGTCTGCGCGCGTGGGGAACGGGGAGGGGGGAGAGCGGGGGAGTGAGGGGGAGAGAGTGTAGGGCGGGGAAACGGATGGGAGAATGCGGGAGGTGAATAAGAGGGTCAACGGGTCGTCAGAGCCCCTATCGCTAACCTTGCAGCGCCCCTCTCCCCGCACCTCGCCCGCCAGCTTCCCCAAACCCCCACCTCCGTGCAATTCCCCCCGCCCCCTTCTCCCCCCCGCGCACCGGGCAGTTGGCGCCAGACGGCGTCGAAGCCGAGCGGCGTGCCCTTGAGGTCCTTGGCGATGAGGTGGCAGAAGTTGTCGGCGCGCTTCGCGTCCAGGAAGTACCACGGCGGCGGATTCCCCGCGGCGGGCGGCGAGTCGAACGTGCCGTGCACCACCAGCACGTAGTGCGTCTCGCGCGCCGGGTCTGCGGCCGCGGGACGGGTGGGGGACGTTGAAAAAGGGAAAGGGGACAAGGGGGGATTGAGGGAGGACGAGGGAGGGAAGGGATGGAGGGGAGGGGGGAGGGTGAGAAGAGGAAAGTTACGGGGTGAGGAAGATGGGGGTGAGGGGGACGGCGAACGGAAGGCGCGAATGCAAGAAGGCGCGAGGCGAGAGCGAGAGAGAGGCGAGCGGGTTAGACGGAGGGGATGGAGAAGGAAGGGCGCATGGCTGACCGTAGTCGGCGGGGGACGTGAAGAGTTGTCGCACGGTCGTGTAGCGCGCACTGGCTTCGATCGTCTGCTGCGACCGGACGAAAGGAAGAAAAGTGGGAGGGGGGGGGGGGGGGGGGGGGGGGGGGGGTGGGGGGGGGGGGGGGGCGCAGGGGGGGCGGGAAAAAGAATGCTGGTGGCGCGAGTGAGTGAGCAGCGGTGGAGAAGACGAGTGGCACGTGAGGGGAGCGTGGGGGATGGAAGGAGCTACGCGCGCGGTGTGGCCACTCCTCTCCCGCAGTGACGCCATCCTCTTCCCTCGCAACCCACACTGGTAACTCTTCCCGCCCTTTCAGTCGTCCCCAACGTCGTGCCTTCCACTCGTCACGGACTAGTAGCACTCTGTCGTATGCGCTAGCCGCAGCTGCGCGTCCCATCGACGGCAGCGCTATCCCCGCTGCACTACGAGCACGCCGCAGTATCGCGTCCTATCGCCGCGCACAACCATCGCAGATTGCCTCTGTCCTACGACGCATGCGACGTGGACGACCCACCTTGCTGACCGATGCGTACTGCGACTCCTCGTCGTCGTCGTACGCATCGGCCACTTGGACCGATTCGTCCAGCGTCGATTCGCGCTGCGTGTCCGGTTCTGCGCCCATGTCGCTAGCAGAGGAACCGCGCAATCCGAATCTACTTAAAGGTGACGTGGGCCTCTGTTTGCAATGATGGCGATGCAGCGTCGCGAGCGGAAGTACAAAATAGCTAACACTCGTAGCCTCTAAATGCTTTTAGCGTGACCTAATAATCCACTTTGGTCCCGCCTTTCATCCAGCACAAGTCCTGTGCTGAAAATTCTGCCAGCCACACACGCAGTTGGCGCGAGATGTCGCGTTCAGTGGCGTTTCTTCCGCAGCTGTGCCCGCCTTGTTGTCGCGTTCAGTGGCTTGGGTTGGGTCAAGCAACCAGCGGTGCAGGCATTTCTGGGCTGGTTGAAAGGGGCGCAGAGTGCGGTGCAAGCATGTAACAGAAGCTGCGACTCGTAGGCCCATCGAGATCAGCCAATGGTGCCGTATCAACACCTGAAAGCGCAACATGAGCGCCACCCTGCGCTGCGGAGGCGGTACATCCTCAGCTCCGGGGAATGCGGATGGGACCATTTCACGACAACTGTAAGGAGTTTTCCGGATTCCTTACTGGGTCACACTGTACGCGTACAACTCCGACTTTCGGAAAACCAGGCTCGGCCCGCCGACCTCGCCTTCCGAGCCACCACCGCGTCGCTTTTGGGTTTTCCAACCCCGAACCTACACCCAACCATCCCGCGACCCCGCGACCTCGGCCTAGCTAACCTTGCTATATTATGCCTAGGCCTCGTTGTTCATTCAGACGTTGTAATCACTTCCGCACTATTGAGTTCTGCGCACTCTTTCCTTTCACAACTTATAACACTTGGTATCAGAGCCTAAAGTCCTAGGTTACCCTCGCGTTTCCGGGGTAGTTTGTAGAAGGGGAGCGATAGACTTGGTGGGCTGTTAAGCGGTCGGCCCGTGGAATAGATCTGATTATTCCACTCCGACTATGATAGCATTAACGCCTTCACCGAAGTCAGAAAAATCGCGAGCCACCCCCTGCCCGTTCGACGAAGCCTGAGGCACATGGAGCAGGCCGAGTTCAACGAGTTCATGCAACAGTTCCGTGCGATGCAGGCCAACTTGCAGGGTATGAATGCAGAGATGGAGCGTCTACGGAAGGAAAACGCCGAACTACACCAGGCGCGTGGTGAAGCGCGCCAGGAGTCGCCTGTCGTGGACGACGCAAGTAGCAGCACTACACCAGATGAGCGGGTCTGGAGCGAACTGGAAGGCGAGATGGATGCGGACGAGGCGAGGCAGGCGCAGCAGGAACAGTCGTCACAACAGTCGCGTGCAGTACCGCCACGTGCAGCAGCGACGACGACGGCGACGCCAGCAGCAACGCTAACGGCCCCGATGGCAGCAACGGCTTTCGTGAAAATCAAGCCGACAAACCCGCCCTCGTTTAACCCGAGTGATAAGTTTGTCACTGTTTCTGCGTGGTTGTTCGGTGTGGAGGTGTTCTTTAATGCTGCTATGATTTATGACGACGCCACCGGCATTAATTTCGCAGTTTCACTGTTGCGAGGACCTGCGCTGGAGTGGTGGAGGCGAGCGCTGCAACACGAAGGGACTTCGGCAGGAACAGCACGTGCGAACGACGGGACTTCAACACCTGTCACGCATCAGGCAACATCGATTTTTGGGACGGCCACGACACGCATATGGAAGGAGTGGGGCGCCGCCTTGCAAACCAGATTCGAACACATATCCGCCTCGGACTCTGCTCGCATGCAGCTGCGTACCTAGAAGCAGCTGACTTCAGTCCAAGACTACACCAGCAAATTCTGCAACTTGGCGGACCAGGTGGACGACATGAGCGACGCAGAGCGGTTGGATCGCTACGCGGCGGGTGTCAGAATCCCAACCACTAGACCATTGGGATAAAAGGGCTTGTTAAGTAGCGGGTCAGTGCGCCCATAACCCCCCAGGCCAACGTGCCTGTAACCCTTCCCTAGGATCAATCGGGGATCACCAGTGGACCTCAGACACCCCCCCGCACTGGGATGCCCGAAGTGCATACACCGGAATTCGAACCCGAAACCTTCGCTCTGATACCATGTCAGAATCCCAACCACTAGACCATTGGGATAAAAGGGCTTGTTAAGTAGCGGGTCAATGCGCCCATAACCTCCCACGCCAACGTGCCTGTAACCCTTCCCTAGGATCAATCGGGGATCACCAGTGGACCTCAGACAGCGGGCCTGAAATACGAGATACAATACGAGGTCCGACGAACCCGGCCACGAAGCTTCAACAACGCCGTCCGGGAAGCCGAGTCAACGGATGCGCTGATGCAGTGGGCGAGATCGAGCTCCCGGGAGGGCCCTCGATTTCGTGGACCGACTCAGCAAGCCACGATCAACGGCGTGGATGCACCGAGCCGAGCCCTTGGGCCGTGCTTTTTATGCAACCAGCTGGGCCACCTGAAAAAAGACTGCCCGAGGCTTAAGCAGGGGAAGAAGAACGACGGAGAAGGGTCGGGAAAAGATACGAGTCAGTAGCAGACGGGCCACCTACTGACGAGACCCTAGTCGCCCGACAATCACCATCCACACCGGGTCGTGGTACCGATCAGAGCTATCGACCAGAACCGGACGAATAACGTGGGTGAACACGTGGACTACCATGTGCTGGTGGTAGGGAGGGTTAACGGCTATAAGATAAAAATCTTCGTTGACGGTGGGGCGAGCCACAGTCTCGTCAACCTGGCAACGGCCAAAAAAATTGGGGTGAAGTTGACCAGGTGTCTGCCGAAGATCGATGCAAGGTTGGTGGACAGAACACCGTTGGCCATCCGAGATGAGGCGCAAAAAATTCGGATACAGTGCAGCGACAATTTCGGGTTTGGCATGAAAATGTTGGCGACGACGTTGGACGGCTGCGACGTGCTGCTGGGGAGGGATTGGCTACAGCGTTTCAATCCGACGATCGACTGGACGACTGGGACGTGCGTCGTGCGAGGATACGGAGGGAAGACGACGCTTCCGAAATGGACGGAGCCGGAGCCGGTGACGACACGTGTCAACGCGGTCAACATGCAGCGTGCGATGAACGGCGGAGCTCAGGCCTTCTTGGTGCATCTGTACGAGGTGGCAGCTTCCGAAAAAATCGCGGACATCGACACCCTCTACGCGGCAGTCCCCGAGGAATTGGCGAGCATCATTCGGAGGTATCCCGAAATTTTCGCGGATGACCTCCCGGATGGCTTGCCCCCCCAACGACCTGAAGACCATCGGATCCAGCTGGAGCCACGGGCGCAACCCACTGTTCGGTCACAGTGGCGGCTCAGCCAACCAGAGCTCGCCGAATTGCGAGCCCAGCTGGATTACCTGCTCGTCAAGGGATTTATCCGACCCAGCACGTCGCCGTATGCAGCACCGATACTGTTCACGCCGAAGAAGGACGGTGGCCTACGCATGTGCATTGATTATCGGGCGCTGAATCGGGTCACGATAAAGTCGCGTTACCCGATCCCACGAACCGACGATCTGCTGGATCAACTTCGCGGAGCTCGGTATTTTTCGAAAATCGACCTGCGAGGAGGCTACCACCAAATTCGCGTGTTCGCCAACGACTGCCCGAAGACCGCTTTTCGCACACGCTACGGCAGTTACGAGTTCACAGTGATGTCGTTCGGCCTGACAAACGCGCCCTCGACGTTCCAGCTCACCATGAATGGAATTTTTCGAGACATGCTGGACAAGAAGGTCATCGTGTACCTGGACGATATCCTGGTGTACAGCGCGACAAAAGAAGACCATCTACAGGATTTAGAGGAGGTGTTCCGGCGTTTACAAGGGCATCGGCTAATTACAAAGGGGTCTAAGTGCGAGTTTCTGAAGCCAGAATTGGAATTTTTGGGACATGTGGTCTCTGGCGACGGGATTAAAATCGACCCGCGTAAAGGGGACGCCATCGTTAAGTGGAAACCACCTACTAATATCCCTGAGTTGCAAAGTTTTTTGGGGTTTGTTAACTACGTCCGTCGTTTTGTACCTAACATGGCAGGGATAACCAAGCCGCTGACCGACCTGCTGCATCACTACAGTAATTTTCGGTGGGGGGAGAGGGAGCAATCCGCCTTCGACGCTCTCAAAAACATTTTGGGTTCACCCCCGGTACTCCGCCTCGCCGACCCATCTCGACCGTTCGAAGTCGTCACGGACGCCAGCGATTTCGCCGTCGGCGCCGTCCTACTACAGGATTTCGGCCAAGGGCTGCAACCCATCGCCTACGAGTCACGCAAGATGCAGCCACCCGAGCGTAACTACCCAGTCCACGACAAAGAGATGCTGGCCATCGTTCATGCATTTCGTGTCTGGCGCTGCTACCTCACGGGAGCCGATGTGACAATTCGGACCGACCACAAGTCACTACAGTACATGCGCACACAACCGACACTCAACCCGCGACAAATTCGGTGGTTGGAATTCCTCGAGTCCAATTTCCGGTACACCATCACGTACAAAAAGGGCGCCAACAACATCGCCGACGCCCTTACCCGACCAACCATGCAAAACGCGGCGGTACTAATCGCCCACACTAACCCGATGCTGACGGGACTATTCACCCACGGCTACAAGATCGACAGGTTTTTTCGGAACCCGCAACAACAGGCTGCTACACCGCACGGCAAATACTACCTAAAAGCCGGTACGAACCGGATTTGGGTACCAGCATACCAGCCTTTACGAGAGCTGCTGACGCAGGAGGTTCATGACTCCAACCTTTCCGGGCATTTCGGCACCGATAAAACACTGAAGCTGCTGCAGCGGAATTATTACTGGCCGGACATGCAGACCGATGTACAGCGCTACGTATCAACTTGCACGACCTGCCAAGCAATGAAGTCGTCGCGACAACGGCCAGCTGGACTGCTGCAACCCCTCGCGCCACCCGAACGACCGTGGCAACAGGTGACGATGGATTTCGTCACGGGGCTCCCAGCTGGCGCAAGTGGCAACGACTCGGTGCTAGTCATCGTCGATCGCCTAACGAAGATGGCGCATTTTGCCCCATGCCGAACGACGATCACAGCCGAAGATACAGCCAAACTGTTCATCTCCGCCGTCGTACGCCTACACGGGTTACCTTCGGCGATCATCAGCGATCGTGATCCGAAATTTACGTCGAAATTCTGGCAGGAAACGTGGGCACAGTACGGTACCCGCCTGCAGTTTTCGTCGTCATACCACCCGCAGACCGACGGACAGACGGAACGGACAAATCAGACCATGGAGCAGCTGATTCGCACCAACTGCCCCGACATTCGCAGGTGGGAAGATTCGCTGCCGATGCTGGAATTCGCGTACAACAACGCCCCATCGGCCACGACTAAACAATCACCCTTTTTCTTGAATTACGCGATAGACCCCGTGGTTCCCTCTTCCACGACTGTGGACAACCCGGTACCAAGATCGCAGCAGTTTGTCACGGAACTGCAAACCGCCCGGACGAAAGCAGCCGAGTTCATTCGCAAGGCTAATACCACGGCCAGTCGTCAGGCGGACAAACACCGACGGAATTTACCCTTCCGCCCGGGGCAGGTTGTACTTCTGGACACCAAGAACCTTCGGCTGCCGCAGCCCGCGAAATTACGGCCCCGCTACGTGGGACCTTTTCGGATCATCCAGATGGTGACACCTGTCACCGCGAAGCAGCTGCTGCCCGACGATTGGAAGATACATGACGCCTTCCACGTCAGCCTGTTGCGTCACTACGAACAGCCGCAGTCGCCAGCTGTTGCTCGACCGACCCTCGCGCCGACCACTTGCCCCGTGGCAGAGCCCACGCTGGAACCCTGGAAATTTCTCAACCATCGCGTGGACGTGACTGCTGCCGGCCGCTCAGTGAAATTGCTGCTTCGCTGGAAAGACCGCACGAGCGAGGACGACACGTATGTCGCTGCTGACTCGCTTCTGGGACACCCGGTTTTGGACGCTTACCTCGCCCGCCGAGGTGTTTCGGATATTCACCACCTTTCTTAAAGGGGGGGGTAGTGTAAAGAATTTTCCGGATTCCTTACTGGGTCACACTGTACGCGTACAACTCCGACTTTCGGAAAACCAGGCTCGGCCCGCCGACCTCGCCTTCCGAGCCACCACCGCGTCGCTTTTGGGTTTTCCAACCCCGAACCTACACCCAACCATCCCGCGACCCCGCGACCTCGGCCTAGCTAACCTTGTTATATTATGCCTAGGCCTCGTTGTTCATTCAGACGTTGTAATCACTTCCGCACTATTGAGTTCTGCGCACTCTTTCCTTTCACAACTTATAACAACAACCATCAGGTGAAGTACATGAGAGCTTCAAACATGTACATACATTGAGAGTATAAAATACTAGAATCGACGGTATACATACGGTCCAATGAAACATCGATAAAGAGATGTGTACCAATAATCTGTAGTTGCTGCTGTGAATGTCGAGTACAGAATTCAGAGTCTTCCTCTTTCCCCCCGCTCGCGTCGCAGACTCAGAGCCATCGCCGTGTCGCTTCAGGGATTGGCTTTGGGTGGAACGGGTGGCATTTCCCGCTGCATTTTTATATTTTGCGCCTCGACTCACCACTTGAATTCACATTTCCTGGTCAAGGCAGGGCGTGTGTTTTGTTCTCACTACATGGTTACGCAAAAACACTCGTGTTCACAATCATTGAGAAACGCCTGCTCCAGTTAGTAAGCACAATCGAAGTCGAGAATCCTCTCGCGCCTTCCAGTCAACCTTAAACGAAGGCCTCGTCTTTGGCCAATTACCTGGATTAATTTTCATGGCACTGCTAAGACGAAGATGTGTAGTCTACGTACTGGCGTCATTCATCCTCGTTGCGTTGATAACAACAACTCACGCCGCTTTCTGCGATACCTTTATAGCGCAGTTTCCTAATCGATGCCCGATAACATCGACGGTCGACTCGTTGGACTTGGAGAAATTCACGGTAGGCGTGATGGGGTTCGACGAAGCCATGGCAGGGAGGTGTTACTTGCTGAGTGTGAGCAATCTCGTGGTTCTTTCCATTTCCCAGTCATTCCCAGCCAGTCACATTCTCTCGTTCTCCAGTTTTTCCCAGTCTGATAACGCGTGGCACTTTCTGTGACCGCAGGGCGCGTGGTTCGAGGTGGGAAGCAGCGCGCTGCACAAATTCAGCACGGCGAGCGGCCTGTCGTGCAACGCCGCCAAGTACTCCGCGCTCGCCACCGCCACTGACGGCAGCAACGTCGCTGGGTAAGCTCCGAGCCTGCGCATCCCCTGCTTGCGCGAGTCGGGAAACAAAGAAGCGTGAGCTTTCGCAGGAAGGCTATCTGCAGCAATCCCTCCCAAATGCCATCTCCCAACTCGCGCCACTGCCCTCGTCCTTTGCGCCCCCCTTGCCGCGACCAGGTTTCTCAGTCGCGGCCTTCGCACCGTCAGTCCGTTACGAGCCGATCAGGTGCGCCACACTACGACCCGCCCAGCGTCCAACGCGTTCGTGCAAGGCATGCTCTCCCGATCACTTAGTTGCCCGTCGTCAGACATGCCCTCCGCCACTGCTCCCCGCACTCATCCCCCCCTCTTCCTTCCCCCGCTCAGGTGTGGCGCATATCCGCAGCAGCAGGGCGCATCTCGCGCAACCTGCGCCGTGTGTGCGAGGCGGCCGTTTACAGCGCCAGGGCGCACGCGTCCCTGCAGGCGATGCTTGTGCCGGGGCCTCAGGGGGTGGGTGGCGGGGTAAACAGCAGCGGGACTACGCCCACTAGTGACAGCAGCAGTAACAGCACGAGCCCGTTTTCCCAGCAAGCCAACGGAACTGCGCTTGCAGCTGTGGGCATACTGGCTGCGTCTGGCGCCACCCTGTCACAGCAGGCCCTCGCGATCTACAATCAGCTGGGAGCGCTGCAGCAGCATAACAACCGCGCCAGCACATTCAACGACCCGCAGGACCCCGGGCTGGACGTCACGAAGCAAGGGCTCGCAGACGCAGCCAACCGCATCATTGCTGCTGCTGGAAGGGCTCAGCGCGCAGGGATGAGGGGAAGCCTGGCGGTGCTGCAGATGCAGCTCATGCTGCCCGCTGCCAACAGCAGTGCCGCCACCCGGTTCACATCCCGGCTCTCTGGTTTCCTGGGGCGCGCGTCTTGGGAACTGGGAGTGAGAGGGAAGGTGGGCCTGGCGACGACTGTGATTCGCCTGCTGGCGGCGTCGGTGCTCGTGCCCTCCCTCACCATGTTCCCATCGCCCTTCCCCTGGAATTCCCAGACCCAGCTGCGCATGCAAGCCGTGCAAGACAGGAAGCAGGTGAGATGCGGGGCGGGACGTCAATTCATTGCTATGATCATTGACTGAGGATAGCCCACATGCTACTGTCACTTCCTTCAATATAAGCTCTTGTGTGTCTCACCTTGCTGCTCTTGGACAGCCTGGGAAGTTTGCAGTGAGCCTCTTTGGATTCGCTCGGAATAACAACTACCTGATCAACAAGCTTGAAGGGAACGCAGATTCCGAGTACAACATGGCCACCATTGTGTCGTGTGATGGCGGCCAGGTGAGGAAATGGGAATACAACCCTAAACCCAATGTGTTCCAGCCTTTCCAGAGCTATTGGCAACGAACTGCAGTTGTATATTTCTAAGCCAATGTTCTTTCATCTGGTGCTCTGTGCCCAGTTCTCAGTATCCATACTGGCGCGCACAACATCAGTTGGTCAATCGGAGATTGACGCCCGACTTTCCCAACTGGAAACACAAGGCATTGTACTAGGGGGAGCAAACATCTTCATCAAGGCAAATCAAGACGAAGCGGTGTGCAACACTTTGTGGGGAAACTGACCATCATGAATAGTTCAAGGTTGTGACCTTGTAAGTAGAACTAACCAGCACAACTAAAGTTGAAGCATGCATTAGAATGATTAGCTCATCTTGTTGCTAGCTTCAATATTGATAGGATGTGACATTGTACTGTCTGATGTATCCACTTCTTGTGGCTTTGTGATTAATGGACTACAAAGCAAAATCTCGATAATCTATATTGGTACTTAGAACGCCCCGTTTCTAGACAAACAATAGCTCGATTCTTGGTTGTTCTAATGCGGATGAAAGTTACACGGCCGCCGTTTTCGTTTACCTGCCATGTTCGCGTCCAGGTGATTCGAAACGATCACTCACGCATGCCGACGCGTGAATCCACGACGCGCGTTTTCAAGGCGCGCATGTAACAACCGCGTCGCACTCATCACAATTTCGAATTCCCAACGCTGTCCTTCTCAATTGGAATTTGGCGCACTAGCAGTTCTTGCCCCGCCAATGTCGCCTCCGCCCGCACCAAGCACCTTGAGAATGACGCCCCTAGATCAGCCAACTCTGCTTTGCTAATCCACTTTCCATCACGTTGACTCTCCTAGCCGACAAAGCATTCAGATTCAGAAGTCCGCATTCGTCGATGAGACGTCCTTGCACCTCATCACTAAGTTCAATCGCGTAGAAGCATTGAGGTGGTTCATGCAGATAGGTTGGCGAGATAGATCATAACGATAGCGTATTGCCTGTTTCTGGTGTTGAAGGTGACATGTTTCACCTCGCATTTTTTCTAAACCGGCGTAGTTGAGCCTATCTCAGTCTATTATTAACCGGCGTAGTTAAGTGTTACCCGACACATCCAGTACTGAAGCCTTTGTGCTGAACTGCATCAAGACGTGTCAGCAGCAATATCCTGTCCCGCCTAGCCACGCGTCATCGTCACCCCTCCTGACATCCACCATGGAAATCACCTATAGAGTAGGCCGCGGCAGCCGCCTGGCTGCTGTGCTAGCGTGCGTCGCGGTGTGGTGCGCGGCGTGGCAGCGCGCGCGAGCGGGGGACACATACTTCTGCCAGGAGCTGGTGAAGGAGACGGTGGGGGCGTGCCCCGACGTGCAGACGAGCAACACGTTCATGGCGGAGTTTTTCCAGGTACCCGTGCGCGCGCCTCTAGGCGGGTACACGTGAAATTCATGCATAGTTACTGCGCCATTCCAGTCGGCCTTCCAATCGCGCTCTGCCCATGGGCCTTTAACTCTTGTACCGGTCGTCCCTCATATTGCTGGTCGACAAGTTGCTGACTATGACACCGCGTCTACCAACGCGCGTCTTCGTGCCGTTCAATAGCACTGCAGTCGATACAGCTGGTTAAGAACCGTCAATTTTTAGCCCCACCGACCCAAACTCGTCTTGGCATAGCCTTCTATCACATTCCCTCCGGTGTGTTTCGTGGAATTTGTCAAGACACCAGCAGTTCAAGCGTTTCAGCCTCCAGGTTTTGACGAATTTGAGTGTCCGTGGTATTGCTACAGGGCAAGTGGTACGAGATCGGGTCGACGGCGGAGTCGAAGCTGGAAGTGAGCGGCGAGCTGGGCATGTCGTGCGTGACGTACAACTTCGTATTCCGCGGCATCAACCACAGCCTCAACAGATTCAGGTGCCTACCTGCACGCCTCTACCCACCTCTTTGATCGTGCTGCGTCGCTGCTCCGCAAGCCGCCGTCTCTCGTGCGCTATAGCCATTCCCCTCCATCCTCTTTCTTATCTTGTCCCACTCGCTCTCCTCGTTCCTCATTCCGCCTTGTGCGGTAAACTTAACCCCTCCTCCCTTACTGCCCCCCTTCCCCCCCATCTCGTTTGTCCTAGCGTGGTGAAGCGCGGCATCCGCATGACCACGCCCGCGCGCCAGTCGCAGATCCAGGGGCTCTCCAAGTCCGCGCTCGCCGTGCGCGACCACCTGCGCTCGGTCTGCACCGCCATCGCGCGGCCCCCCGCGCAGGGCAGCTCCGCCACGCTGCAAGTGAGCAACGCGCAGCAGACGCTGTCGTGGGCGGAGCTCCCCAACGACGTCGAGGCGGACGTCAAGGTCGCGCTGGGCGACATCGCGAATTCCATGGCGCAGGTTTCCGCGCGCGCGGAGCGCGCGTATAACCTGCTGGCGCGGATCCAGCAGCTGAACGCGCAGCTGAGCCAGATGGACCGCGTGTTCTTCATCTGGCAGACGAAGCAGAAGCTCGTGAGCGCCGTCAAGCAGCTGCAGAGGGAGTCGACGGCCATCAACAAGGGGCGCGTGAGCATCATGAAGTCGGCGCAGATCGCGACGCGGCGCGTCAACAAGGTGGAGAACAAGCTCGGCAACCTGCGCGGCAAACAAACGGTGAGCCCTCGTGGAGGAGAAGCGGCGCGGCGCTGCGCTCCAGAGGCCGCAGTTGTCCTGCATTGTTCCCGTTCTCGTTCATTCTCCCCTCGCACTGCCACAACATCCTGAACCCGCCCCCATCCACACAGACACAATAATATATATCCTTCCCCCCTCCTTCCACCGTCCCTCCCCTCAGCTGCTGCTGAACCTGAACGACATTGTGGGGCTCACGCGCAACGTGAGTGGGTTTGGGCGCGCGACGGGGCGCATGGGCGCAGCGACGGCATCAATGCGGCCGATGGCGGGGCTCATGTTCTCCAACCCGCTCGCCATGCGCTTCTCCTACTCCGCCATCGGCGCCGTCACGCAAGTGGAAGCCTCGCAGGTACACCGCCGCGCCCAACGCCCCTTGCATGCGCTGCGCAATGCAGCGACCTTCTGGTGCCTGCATGCCTGCACGGGATGTGACCCCCCCCCCCCCCCCCCTCCTTGCCCCCCTCTCCCCAACCCCGGTCTTTCATATCGCTGCTGGCACTGCATTGCGCGTCCTTAAATGCACTGCGTATCTACATTCATCGGCTAATATAGCAGCACATTCTCCGTTTTTAAATAGCCGCTGCTCCACTCCCAAACCATCCATCCACACCACACCACACGAGCATGGCAGGTGGGCAAGATGCAGGTGACGTACGGCAACGGGCGGGGCGTGGTGGAGAACATGTGGGTGGCGGGGCTGTGGGGCAACCAGGCGCTGTCAGACTCGTACAGCATGGCGCTCATCTACTCGTGCTTCGTGCCGCCCGCTAACATTGGCTCGGGGAGAACAAGCGCGGTACGCAGGCAATCTTCGAGCTAGCCATGTGTATGCTTTGGCCCCCAAATTACGATCTAAATGCTCTCAGCCTGTCGCCTGCTAAAAAGAGTCTGACCAGGTGCCACTGTCAACGTTTTCGTTCTGATTTTGGCCATCCAAGTTCCTCGCATGGCACTGCAGACATCTCAATTCTTCTTGCCCTTCACCTTCTCAACCCTCGTGGTCCCGTGGTGTTCCCCACAGATCTCCTTCCGCCTTCTGTCCCGCTCCCCATCCGTCTCTCAAGCGGATGTTGACTCGGCGCTGCAACTGCTGGAGCAGCAAGGGGTCCCAATGGGTGGACCCAACCCTTATGTGCCAACCTTCCAAGTAAGAAACCAATGCATTTCCAGCTGGCAAGGCAGAAACTGATGAGAAAGGGGAAGACCAGGTGCACATCTGGCACCTAGCTACAAGATGTGTCTTGATCATTCAGAGCTTCCCAAAATTTGTTGGATCTGTGCAACTCTGAAGATTATGGAGATATCGCAGTTGCACATATAAAAAAAGTTGTAGAGTATGGCAGGACTTTGTAGAATCAAGTCTTTTCCTGCCCCTTACGCTAGACAATATTTGAATACAAGCTATGCTAGAGTGATTTCATTGTATGACTAACCAGCAGTGTACTTAGATGTATTCGTAGCATGTCTATATTAGGGAGATGGAGGACTTTTAGTACACATGATGCTCACCCAATGCTCGCGAAATTGTCTCGCACCGGGTGGAAACATTGCACCCGTGGGTTTTTTGCCGTGAAGTTGCACCCACGTTTAGAGCGCCTTGGACTACTTACCCAAGTTGAATGAATACAACCACAAATGAATGTAGGGCACAAAACAAACTGTGTTGCCCAGGGAGTCCTTGTTTCCTGGCCAGAAACAAAGGACGCGAAGTGCATGGACGAAACACATTCGAAATCGTTGCCACATTCGCGAATCCAAGCTGTGCCACGTAAGGTGTGTCAAGGTGCGTCAAACAGACCACTGCCAAATTCCTACTGCCACCTGTACCTTGCACTAAGGCGATACAGACACCCGCATAGCCTCTCAATGTGCAGCAAACACACGTCACAACGTACGGTGGTGGTTACAGGGTAGCACATCGCCTGTAACCATCACTCGATTCATTTGTCTAAAGAAATGTATCGCGCATCGGTGGTTTCAAAGTGCCTCCTCACAGCTCACGACGAGAAAGGCAAAATCACCAGCAATCAGAAGGCATGCCTTCTTCCCGTCAATCATAGTTTCCTCTTCCCTCACCACCATGGCTCGCTTATGCCACCGTTCGCAGCTGGGCTTGCCAATCAAGAGGGCGATTTGCGCCCACCATGTTGCAAATCCGCACCTGCGCCATGTTGATCTTTCTCGCTGGTGCTTCACTCGCTTCGGGATTCGCCCCGACCGCATCACTATTGGGCGCGTGCTCAAGGGTGCCGACCGTTGGGTGCGACCTGATGGGGCCGCCGACGTCATCCGTGTGCGCGGAGGCGCACACTCCGAGCTCGAGTGCGCAATGGCTCGATGGATCGCCAATGCGGGCCCGGCTGGCGTGCCTCTCACTCTCGCAACAATCTGCGACCATGTGGCGACAATGGCGCGGAACAGTGGGATTCCGCCCACATTTCGCTGCTCCATAGGCTGGGCCCGTCGTGCTCTGCGCCGCCAGGGTGTCCGTTGCATGAGCGCCGTTGGCAAGGCGGCCGACCAGGACACGACGTCCATCCGAACGACCAAGGAGAAACTCCCGCAGCTGTTGATGCATCTTTCCGTCACTCCGAGCGACACCTTCAACTTCGACGAGACCGCTTTGTTCCTCTCGATCCTGCCGCGTAAGACGTATGGCACCACCCGCACGGCCGGACGAAGATAGCCAAGGAGCGTTTGACGGTGGGCTTCCTCGTCAACGCCGACGGGTCCCGTGTCTTCAAGCCGTTGGTGATTTCGAAGGTGAGGAGGCCCCACGACTTTCGCCCTGACTACAATCCCGAGGAGAAATGCTACTGGCGTAATAACGCCAAAGGCTGGATGACAAAGGCAGTGAGTATGCTGGTGCATGTGTGTATCGTTAGCCGACCTCGTCAATTTCAAGTTACCGAAAAGTGACATTGTTACGGCCAATGCTTTGTTCCCCTTCCGCCCGCTATCGCCATGCGCAGTTGTTCACTCACTACATCGAGCAGCTTGACGCCACCATGTACGCCGAGGGAAGGAAGATCGTGGTGCTGCTCGACAACGCCAGCATCCACACGCTCACGACAGAAGGTGTCACCACCGAAGACATGTTCGGATTCCGCACGTGCGCGCTCGGGAACGTGCGCCTCGTGTATCTACCCCCGAACATGACCTGCTTCACCCAGCCTCTTGACCAGGGTCTCATCTCAATGGCGAAGGCGCGGTACCGTGCGCACTGGCTCCGCGCCTTTACCGGCATGTGGTGTGCCGACAGCGCAACTACCGCGGCTGCGCGTTTCAGGCCGAATTTGCGGCTTGTGCTGAAGTGGCTCCACGACGCTTGAATGAACGTTGGCCCGCGCGCCATCCAGCGCTGGTGGTGGCGCACCGGATGTCTTCCCCACGTGTGGGCCATGTCTCTCCCACACGTGGGGGTCGGGAACGGCAACAACGGCGGCGCAGGCGGCGGCGGTGCGAATGTGGCCGACATCGGCCTCGATGCAGAGGTTGACGGCGTCGGCCTCCTCATTGACCATTTGCGTCTCGGGCCGAGCGCGATGGCCGCCGCCGATTTCGTGAACGTCGACGCCAACCAGCCCACCTGCGCCGAAACGGGGGAGGACCCGCTTGCAAGGGAGCCCGCGTCGGCGGCGACACCCGCAATGTGGGAGGCGCATGCTAAGATGCAGGCTGTCTACGACGACAGCAACCCTGCGTCGCGCGAAGCGCACCGCACCGCTCGCGCAGCGTGCGAGATGCTGATTGGTTATTCGCGGGCGACGTGCATTTCCCCGCGCGACCTTTGCGCCTTGTTCGACATCTGCAACCCCATCATCGTGGCGCGGATGGAACGCGCGAGCCCGCCTCTCGATCTCAACCACGCCCCACCCCCGGCTGTGACACACGCCGACACCCCGCCGCCTGAGACCCCTCGTCGCCGCGGTCGGGTGCTTCCTGCGTGGGCGCATGTGCCCACCCCAGACTGGGTGGCGCAGTCGGCCCGCCGCCAGGAGCTGATTGACGCCGGTGCACCCGCCGTGATGAGCGGATACCTGGCCGCTGCAGAGTGGATGTGGCTGTGAGAGGGGATTTCGACCCCCTTAGAGGTTGAGTTTCATTCATCCTCTAATGCATCAGGTGTACGCCTTGTACACATTTGCAAGAATTGGGATGGATGACGGGGTATTTGTGTTGAGTACAGGTGGAGCAACTTCATTGGGTCGAAGGGGAATCGTGGTGTTTGTGACAGTGCAGGTTGTGAATTGTAATGGGGTGTTAATGAAATGGGCAAAAATTGTGGTAACAACCCCTTTGAATGTACAACAAACAAAGCCAACCTACACTGTTTAGGGAAAGGACAAGCGTGTTACCATACCTGCCTTTTAAGCGCCCCCGATGGCCGTGGCGAAAGCCACGAAGTGCCCGAAATGACCGGTGCGGTTACAGTCTTAAATGACAAGGCAAGGTTGGGGAACCATAACGAGCATCAGGTGTAAAACGAGAGATCTACAGTAACTGTACTATTTGAACAGAGGGACAAGCCACAGGCACACCAGCCATCCTCTTTGACAAGTGGCCCATTGCAATGCAAGCCCCACGGTTCTCGGAGTTGTTTGTCAGTCCCGCAGATATCTTCAACTCTGTGGTTGCCAGTTCCTCTTTCCACATTGCCATCATTCGGATCTTCTTCAAGCGAGAGTCGCCACATACGGCACGCTTGCGACGCGGTCATAAACGCCCATTCGATGCTGGTCGCTTTGCAACTGACCCCCGAAGCAGGCGCAAGAGACAATTTGCCAATCGAAAAACGACACCCTTCTGATTTGTTTAGATGTGCGTTGCGAAAGCTGATGTGGCAGGCAGCCTTTAGGAGGGTGTTCTTCTTCGAGTATGGTTGCCTCAATTACCCGGTTTATAAGGGTGGCTAGTAAGAACAGACTGGTTGTGTATCTCACTGGTTGGATTGTAGGTCGACCCTGGAAGAGCTTGTTTACGAACTACGCAGCATACTTCCCTGTCGCGCTCCTCACCACCCTGGTATGTCTTAGCCCCCACCAATCTTTCTGGAGGTGCACGCGTTATCTGGAAATCAGTTTTAAATTTGCTATGCAGGGTTTCGGAATGAGCTCAGCCACAATTCGAAGAAAGGCTAGATCCTAAAAATGTCCCCCCCCCCCCCCCCCCCCACCCCCCCCACCCCCACCCCACTAGGGGTGGAATACTGAAGCGGAAGAGATCCCTAAGGGTAACGACGTGTTGCGACCCAAAAAGGTGGGGTTGGGTCGGGTCGAGCTGGTCGACCCGTGCATCGCGGCTCGGTTCGTCGAGGAATTTCTAAGAAATTTTGATATACCCTCGAAGCACATACACAGCAAAATTGCTATCCGGCTTCCCTGCAAGCTAGGCGAGCTATGACGAGTTTCCAAAACTCGCTGAACGCATGGTTACGCTGAAGCTTTGCCTCGCTAGATCTGATATTTGTACACGATCTCAAGGCGATTTGTTTGCGAGAGAAATACAATTCGCTAGCTTAAGTAACTTGTCGCAAGCCTGTCAGCTTGGGTCTGGTCGACCTGGTCGACCCAACCTCGTCGACCCGGTTCGGGAAGACCCAACCAGACACAGTCGGGTCGATCTGGTCGGCTAGACCCGCAATGCAGTCTTCCTAGAAATGATGGATCGGGGGTGGTTGACCCGACCTCTTTGGGTCGCAACAAGTCTAAAGAGATCCCTTTTAGTGGGATTTTGGAAGAAATTTTCTCCTACTCGACACTCCACATGCGTGTCATGATGAACGCTTGTGTACCTCACCCAGTTTCTATCCACCTGCTGCAGCACCAGTGCCAGCAGCACCACGAGTTCCTGCCTGTGACAGTTCTTCCATCCAATCCACCAATCCAATCCAGGGCGTCCATGTTCGTTTCCCAAATTCCCATCCCACACTTGCCTGCTGCCAGATCCATCCAACCACAACAGCAAGTGAAGAACAACCAGCAGCAACACGCGATTAAGAGTTGCAATTGCAAGCAAGCGACATCCTTCATCCCTCCCTTCCCCAGCCCCTGCCTGCCCCGCCCCTATTCCGTGTGCTTGCTTCTTCGGTCTGCGACAGCAGCATTCTGGTTGTCTGCTGTTCTCTGCTGCTCTTCTCGAATCTCAACCGAAAACCACCACCTGTCTTTGGATCTGTCCCATACCTCCAGGTAGACGGCTTTTCCTTCCAGATTATCTCACTCCTCTTCGGACACTGAAGCCGTACTGTTTTCTGTCTCGAGATCTTTCAGCACAGCAGCACTCCACTCATGTAGAGGACAGCCTTCGTACAGTTCCGGCTACTGATCGCGACGTCTCACCTGTCGCGCTAGAACCTCTGCCTTGCGTTGGCGTTAGCTTTAGTGGCCAGGAGTGTAACGTCAAAATCGTCACGAGAGCGTGATCTCAGGCAGAGCGTACCAATGGGGCCAGGAGTCGTTTTCCCACAGGCCCCGTCACGGGATCGACCGTCGTTTCCGATCGCATTCGGCGCGAAGCTCGCCGTAGACCTCGCAAGCAAGCCGCGGCCTCAACAACCCTCGCCAATCCGCGGTTGCGACAAGGGCCGGCGCGATCCGCTGCCGCCGCTGCAGCAGCAGTGCACCATTCGCGCCCTGGACGCAAGGAAGCCGTTCAACGCGCCGCCGCTTAGCATTCCATCTGACGTGTCCAGCAATCCAGGCGACGACGCGTCGTCCTGCTCCTCGCCAACGTCGTTCTCCGTCCTCCCACTCTTCTCCCATCACTCCACCGCCAAACCGCGGTCCGCCTCCCGGCCCCCCGCGAGATCCCCGCGACCGTCGCTACCCCGCCCGCGCTCCCCGTGCCCCTTCGACTTCTGCGCGCTTTCCAACAGCCCGCGCCGCTCGCCGGGGACCACCTTCGGCAGGCCCGCACGACCAACCACGGCTCCTGATCACACGCCGCTGCCTAATGCGGCATACCCGTGCGATGAGGAGAGCTCGCGATCAACGGACAATACAGCAGCTCCGGCGCCGGCAATGACGGCGCAGCAAGCGCAGTGGTTCATCCTCCCCGCTCAACGCCCAGAGGTTGTTCGCGCCGCCGCACAGACCTCCCGATGCGCGTCGCCTGACACGCCCTTGGGATTCGTCACCTCCCCCAACGCGGCCTCGTCCCCCTCCAGCCAACTCGCCCGCGGCGCTAAGCCGCGCTCATCCCTCTCCTCGCTCCCTCCCTCCTCCCCGCGCCCGCCGATCGCCACCGAATCCGCCGCTGGAGGATTTGCACCTGAAGAGCGCGGCTTTGGAGGAGACTACGATTATCCGGAGTCGAACCGCCTTGTGATCACTGGTAACAGCAGCCGCAGCGTGTCGAGTGCAGGCAGCGTGGAATGCGGCGAGCCGTCAACCTCCAGCCTGGGCGATACTAACACCGCCGCGATCGTCGCAAAACCCGCGACTGTAACCGCTCGGAGGAGCTCCGAGTCGGACTTTGCCGCGAAGCGCGCCGCCGCAGATGCCGCGCGGCCCGCGCCAATGGGGTTCCGCAGCGTGAGCTTTTGTGGACGGGCGGACGGGCGAACCACCATGGGGGCGGAGGGGCAGGCGGAAAGAGAGTTGGCGAGACACCGGTGCGCCTCGATGCCAAGCAGAAACATGCCACGTGGCGCCGGTTTGGTGGCTGCTTGGGGTGGTATTGCGAATCGCGCTCCTCCCCTGGCGGCGTCACGTCAGGAGGAGGCGGAGGAGAAGGCGGCGGAAAGGACGGACGAGGTGGAAAGAGAAGGGGACAGAGGAGTGGTCATGGATGACGTCAGCGACACAGCCAGCTGCGTGGCTAGCAGCGTGAGCGACGGGTGGGGCGGCAGCCATGGGGGAGAGGCGGAGGAAGGCAACAGGGGAGGGGACGCAGGGGAGGAAGAGGAGGGCGGAACGGAATCTGATTGGGCGAGCGAGTCAACCATGTGCCTCAACCTTGAGAGTGAGTGAAACCACATATTCAATGCGGGTGATTCACGTTTATGACTGCACATACATATAGAGGGGGGTGTTCCCCCCCACTCCACACTTCATACAAACCGTTCCGTCTTGCATCTTGCAATGTCCTTCCTCTGCCTCCACTCATCTCTGGTCTCCTTTCCCCTCCTCTCCCCCTTGCCTCTTTCCTCATGCCACTTCTTACAGGCGTGGAGCAGCTGTGTGCGCAGATGGAGTTCCAGAAGAAGACAATTGAGGCTATCCAGATCGTGGCGGTCCCTGCCCTTCCCCAAATAAGCCGGGAGAGACCCAGAAGGGCACTCAGCAGAGCAGCTGCAGCAGCAGGTGCAGGAGGCAGCAGAGGTGAATCAGAGGCGTGCTCAGCAGCAGGGTGGCCTCTGAAGACGTTGTGTGTTGAGAGCTCTGCCAGCCTCATGGCACTGCGCTTCACTGGATCGCTCACCTGGCACACTCCAGGCGACCCAGAGCTGTGGGAGCGAGGCACGGTCATGTAGGTGCCGTGTTAGGTTAGGTTAGGTTGGGGATGACTTGATGCATTTTAGATGTACTTTGTGAAGGGGTAAGGAGGATACATTAGTGATACAAACCTCCTGCTTAGCTACTTGAGTGGGTAACTGTAAAGTGTTGTTGCGTTGAGAGGAGATACATGCCCCTGCTGCGCTGGATGAAAGATTTGTTTTGTCTTCATGCAGACAAAAGAGCAGCACGCATCCTGGCAGATGTGCCCGACAAAGTCTGGTGCGCTCCAACATGGTGACCACTACCGGTAATGTGCCAGAATAAGCAGGTGGCCTGCACGACAGGCAGGTTGGGTTCAGTTTGAGAAGCACTCATGCAAAGGAGAAGCAGGGCAATGGCCAAATTTCACATTTCACCTCAGATGCAGTGCAGGGTACCAGAGCTTCCCCAACTTACATAAGCAGGGAACGTACCCTTGGTTTATTCAGAAACAGTGCGAGGGGGGGTGGTTTATTCACCCTCAAGGCACCTCCATGCCGGTTTCATAACGGCAGAGATGCGGAGCCAAATGAGGCACATTCAGCTGGCACATGTAGGTTCGCCCTGCTTGAGCTGCTTATGGTGCCCTC